ATTTTTGTGTATAGTGTGAAGAAAGAGTCAAGATACATTTTTGTTAAAAAAAATTGTCCTTTTACCATTGAATTATCTTGGCACCCTTGTTGGCAATCAATTTGTCCAAATATCTTTGGATCTCTTTCTACTATTCTGTTCTTTAATGGATATATCTGTCCTTATGCCAATTCTACACTCTCTTGATTACTTTAGTTTTATAATAAAGCTTGAAATCAGGTAATATAACTTCTCTAATTTTGTTCTTCTTTTTCAAAATTGTTTAAGATTAGAGTTTAGAATCTGTCGGTTTCTACCAAAAAAAAAAAAAAAAACCTGCTGATGATTTTAATTGTATTTGCATTGAATCTGTGTGTCAATTTGGGTAGAATTACTATCTTAACGATTTTAAGTCTTATCTATACATACAGGAGCTTTGGTGGCGTAGTGCTTAAGGCATTTGACTGCTAACCGGAAAGCTGGCAGTTCAAACCCACCAGCCACTCCTGGGAAGGAAGATTGGGCAGTCTACTTCCATAGTAATACCGCCCGTGGAAATCCAAGGAGGGGTCGCTATGAGTCGGATCCGACTCTGACAGCAGTGAGTTTTTGGAGTTTATCTATACATGTGGTATGTATTCTCTTTATTGGGCCTTTAATTTCTGCCAAACCCAGTGCCATCCAGTCAACCCTGACTCATAGTGACTGTAAGAGAGTAGAACTGACCCATAGGGTCTCCAAGGCTATAAATCTTTACAGAAGCACACTGCCTTATCTTTTGCCCACGGATTGGCTGCTGGGTTCGAACTGCTAACCTTAAAATGCCTAAAATGCTTTAACCAATATAAGCAGTTTGTCAACAGTGTTTTATAGTTTTTATGATGCAAATCTTATACATATTTTGTTGAATTTGTTTTGAGTATTTCTTTTTTGTTTGTTTGTTTCAATTGGGAAAAAAATTAAATTTTAGATTCTAGTTGTTCATTGCTAACATATAGAAATAGTTGGTTTTGAGATACCTTAGAATTTGCTATGTACATATGTAGTCTATAAATAGCTTGACTTTTTTCTTTCTAATTTGTATGTCTGTTATTTTTCACGTTTTATTACATTGACTAGACGTGTCAGTATAATTTTGAATAAAAGTGGTAAGCCTCGACATTCTTGACTTGTTCCCTTATTTCTAGGAGAAAAGCATTCAGTATTTAATGGTTAAGTGAGATACTAGCTGTAGGTTTTTCATAGCTTTTAATTGGAGTGGATAGGTCAGCTTACATAGAACATCGTAACAGATTTGTTTGGGTGTAAATTTACCATCTTCTTGTTTGTGTGAATGTTTCCCTTATACATCTAGTAGAACCCTAATTAAGAAAGACTGCATTAGAGATCACAAGATACACATTTGACTTACTACATTTTATCTTAATTTAGTATTTCTTAGACAATGGAAAGACTTTACAATATTTAAATTCTATTTACCACCTCCTCTTGTGCTGTTTTTCCACATATATTTTAAACTCCACAAGACATATGTCTTGCCTTAATCAGTTAGTCCACATTTAGATTTACACACATACAGATAGAACCCAGCTTAACAATGTATTTGACTTACAACAAACAGAACTTATGATTTTTTTGTACATCTTATTGTTAATAATTTATATTACATACAGTTGCAGCACAGTAATTTGCTGATATTAGCAATTTCATGCCAACCCTTAAAGACAAAGGGCAGATTTATAAAGATACTGATAATAAAAGACAATAATAATGAAAACTAAAAAAAAAAAGATATTCTAATTAGATCAGAACCAACCTTTGACAGAGTCATCAGAACGGAACTCCATGATAAGTTGGGAACTACCTGTACTTTACTTTTTCCAGTGGACTTCATTTCTATATTACCTTGCTTCCATCTAGGATATTTTTTTTTCTTTTTGAACTCCCCATAATTTTTGTACTGCATTCCCCATAGTATTTTTTACTGCAGGCCTGCTGGTAAGAACTTTTCTTGGTTTTTGTTTATCTGAAAATATCTTCATTTGAACTTTTCTTAAGGCTATTTTCTCTTATTAGAGAATGTTGTGTTGACACATTATCTTTTAGCACTTTGAAGATGGCGTTCTGTTGTCTTCTGGTTTCCATTGTTTTTGTTGAAGTTAGTGTTGAGAGTTAATTTTCCATGAGTCTCTTGTGTTTCTGTACATCTTGGAAACAGGCACACTGATTTTCTTTCTTCTGAAGCATTTTTTCAAGAATGTTACATGGCAAACAGCCATTGGATGTAGTGATAGTGTCTCCATTGAAGCAGAGAACCTGCTTAGTGCTCATTATGAAAGATGTAGTTCTACTAGGCTCAGGGTTCCATTTCCATAATACAACCCACTATAAGCGTCACCCTGTGGGAATTGGGGCATGAGAACCAATGCAAATGCTGATGTTCTGTCTACTGCTATTGCTTTGAGTAATAAACTCTTTTTTATGTATCACCTGGGAGTCCCTAGGAGCTCTGGTAGTGTAGTGCCTAAGGCATTTGACTGCTAACCAGAAGGCTGGTGGTTCAAACCCACCAGCCACTCCTTGGAAGGAAGATTGGGCAATCTACTTCCATAGTGATATTGCCTCGGAAACCCAAGGAGTGGTCGCTATGAGTCGGATCCGACTCAATGGCAGTGAGTTGTTTTTTTTTTTTTTTTTTTCAATTGGTGAGGAGTCCCTAGTCTTCTTCCAGGAGCCATGAAACCATAGTAAGCTAACTTGTAAGCTTGCAAGTAGGATAAAATCGCAGATTTTTCATAGTTCTTGATGTTTGGGCTACAAAAATGGAATGCTGATATAAACATGGCTTTCTGGAAGAAGTAGTATGAGGGCCTTGCAGGCTGAATAATAGGATTTGCAAGAAGTCCATGGAAATTGATAGTGAAAATGTTGACCAAATTGTATGGTCAACTGAGCAATAAATGTTTCTCTGCTTTATTGTCTGTTAATGAGGGGGAATTGTGGAAATGGTTGCAGCCCAAGTCCAGGAAGTAAGTTCGATGACAGCTGCCTAAATGTTGCTCTGGTTGTTGCTAACTTTCCTCCAGGGGGCCTTCCTCACCAATTCTGTGCTCAACCTCAGGTTATTGTCACCACAAGTATTAAGATTCATCCTAGATGGACAGAAGATTTTACCCCCTTTCAGACAGCAGTTATAGAAACACATATCTACACTGAGCATGAAAAGAGAGAAATTTTTGATCACTGTGGGCAGAAACCAGGCAAATTGTTAGAACTTGGCTGGCTTGCTTGGGTGAGGTACCTAATGCTTATTAAGGAAGAACAGAAACACCTATTCAGCCTCTCCTGCAGTCTATAATGCCAACTTTTGATCACTTGAAAATAATAGTAAAAGGTCTGAGACTTTGCAGTGGGTCCAAGTTCTTATTCCTTAATTCAGTTATTGTATTTCCTTTGGTATATTTATTTTTAATGGATAATATATACAGATGATAAAAAAAAAATCAAGCCTTACAAAAGTATATGCAGTAAAAAATTTCTGTTCCTCATACTTCTGGCCATCTGGCTCCTAATGCTCTTCAGGGGTAATCACTGTTACCATTTTTCTGGATATTTTTCCCAAAGTCTCTCCTATAACCCATTTCTGGGCAGAGATAGAAAGCTCTCTATCTGGATGAGAATTTAAGCCATAATTGTCATAGTAGAATGTCATGTGCAACTTGATTATCTCTTTGGAAGCCTATGGAAAAACAAACAGTTATATAAAAATTCAGTATTGAAGTGATTGCTGTCCTTAAGAACTAAGATCATTGATATTTGTGTCTTTATTGTATAATGCATTTAGAACCCAGTGCATGTTCTACTAGGTGTTAACACTCATTTTTCCTACCGTTCCTAAAAACTGAGAAAAATACAGAATGATTGAAAGATTTTGCTTTCATTCATTCATTTGGCCCAAGTAGCTGGGCAGTACTAGAAAAAGCCCAACCAACATTTCTTTTTTTCTGGGCTCTTTTACACTGTGTACTTTATATATGTTAGTAAATTGCTTGTGTATTAGTAATTTAATCAGTTTCCTAATCACTGGTTAGGAGCTCTGGTAGCATAGTGGCTAAGATACTTGCCTGCTAACCAGACGACTGGCGGTTCAAACCCACCAGCCACTCCTCGGAAGGAAGGTTGGGCAATCCTACTTCCGTAGTGATACTGCCTCGGAAACCCAAGGAGGGGTCGCTATGAGTCGGGGCCGACTTGACGGCACATAACAACAACAACAATCACTGGTTAATGTGATCCATTGTATGTTGATTCTTTCTAGTTTACCTTTCAGAGGATAATCTTCAGGTTTTTAGAGTACTCATGTTATGATGATATTTTATAGGTACCTGTGAATACTGACCTGTTTCATCTGAAACTTTCTCAGTGTGAAGAGCACATTCTATTTGGACTTTGTTTATTATTGTTCCAGATGGTGAGACTAAAACCAAGATTGGAGAGACAGCTTCAAAGGAGGAAGTTTCAGCAAAAAGTGAACAATTTACTGAAGGTTCTTGCAATCCCAGAGAGGACGTTCTCCAGGATTCTGAGGGCAGAGAATTCTGTGAATTTGTTGAGGAATTAAATGAAAACAATCAAAACCTTTCTAAAAGAAGACAGCATAACAGTGATGAATGTGGACAAAGCTTTGCTTGGAATACAGGCCTTATCAGGCATCGAAGAACCCACTGGGAAAAATCCTATGAATGTGATAAGTGTAGAAAGGCCTTTAGTGTAAGCTCAGCCTTGGTTCTACACCAAAGGATTCATACTGGGGAGAAACCCTATCCTTGTAATTGGTGTATTAAAAGTTTTAGTCGGAGCTCAGACCTTATTAAACATCAGAGAATCCACACTGGGGAAAAACCTTATAAATGTGATGAGTGTGGCAAAGCCTTCAGTCAGAGCTCAGATCTTATTATACATCAGAGAATCCATACAGGAGAAAAGCCCTATCAGTGTGATCATTGTAGTAAAAGTTTTAGTCAGCGCTCAGACCTGGTTAAACACCAGAGAATCCACACTGGAGAGAAGCCTTATACATGTAATCAGTGTAATAAACATTTTAGTCAGAGTTCTGATGTTATAAAACATCAAAGAATTCACACTGGTGAGAAACCATATAAATGTGATGTGTGTGGAAAAGCCTTCAGTCAGAGCTCAGATCTTATTTTACATCAGAGAATCCACACTGGAGAGAAACCATATCCATGTAGTCAGTGTAGTAAAAGCTTTAGTCAGAATTCAGACCTTATTAAACATCGGAGAATCCACACTGGAGAGAAACCCTATAAATGTAGTGAATGTGGAAAAGCTTTTAATCAAAGCTCAGTTCTTATCCTGCATCAAAGAATTCACACTGGAGAGAAACCCTATCCATGTAATCAATGTAGCAAAACCTTCAGTAGACTTTCAGATCTCATTAATCATCAGCGAATTCACACTGGAGAGAAACCCTACCCGTGTCTTCAGTGCAATAAAATGTTTAGTCGAAGATCAGATCTTGTTAAACATCATAGGATTCATACAGGTGAGAAACCCTATGAATGTGATGAGTGTGGGAAAACCTTCAGTCAGAGCTCAAACTTAATTCTACACCAGAGAATCCACACTGGGGAAAAACCCTATCCATGTAGTGATTGTTCTAAAAGTTTTAGTCGTCGCTCAGACCTTGTTAAACATCAAAGAATACATACTGGAGAAAAACCTTATACATGTAATCAGTGCAATAAAAGTTTCAGCCAAAGCTCAGACCTCACTAAACATCAGAGAGTTCACTCTGGGGAAAAGCCCTATCATTGTGCTAGTTGTGAGAAAGCTTTCAGTCAGAGTTCTGACCTTATTCTTCATCAGAGAATTCACACTGGAGAAAAACCCTATCCATGCGCACAGTGCAGCAAAAGCTTCAGTCAGAACTCAGACCTTATCAAACATCAGAGAATCCACACTGGGGAAAAACCTTATAAATGTAATGAGTGTGGGAAGGCTTTCAGTCAGTGCTCAGCTCTTATCCCACATCAGAGAATCCACACTGGCGAGAAACCGTTTATGTGTGATCAGTGTGGCAAAAGCTTCAGTCGACGCTTTGATGTTATTAACCATCAAAGAATCCACACCAGTGAGAAGCCATATAAATGTGATATGTGTAAAAAAGCCTTTGGCACTTGCACAGATCTCATTGAACACCAGAAAACCCACACTAGAGGGCCCCTTTACCAGTGTGTTCATTGCAGCAGAAGTTTTAGCCAACTCACTGATCTTATTAATCATGAGAAAGTCCATTCTGGAGACAACAGTATAAATGTGGTAAGTATGGGAAAACCTTTAATATATGCCCCAATTTTATTCAGTACTGAAGACAGGAAAAAATACTATTAGTGAAAGTGATTATGAAAAAGACTTTACTCAGTGCTCAACTCTTGTATTACACTAAATAAAATAAAATAATACACACTGGGGAAAAAAAAAAACATTTATTTTCATGGTGAAAGTCTAATTCAGAGTGCAGACAATATTACTAAAGAAAAATTCTAAGGAGAAAGCTGTCAATTATGGGAAACACTTCATGTAAATAAAAATTTTAATGTCAGTAAACAATGGAACATGCCTGTCTTTGCTATAATTTAAGAAAAGTTCTAGTCTTTTATTCATGCAGTTCACAATAGGAAATTTTACCATTGTAAGAAATGTGTAACATTATTAATGCAAAACCTTATATTGAAAAAGAGAAATGGTGAGGTGTTCAGTCAGAACTCAGAAAGACTTGTGCTATGTTATCAAACCTTTCTCATTGCCATCAAGTTGTTTCCAACTCGTAGTGACCCGCATTGGGTTTCTGAGGCAATAAATTTATGGAAGTACATTGTCCCATCACCATCATCCTTCCTCAATCAAAACTTAGTGAGTTCAAATTAATTATTGCAGATTAGAAAGTTATATTAGAGAATATGTGGAAAACTTAAGTTCCTTCCATATCTTAATTGGTTTTCACTTTGATACCACACTTATCCTCTGACAGTTGGGTAGTCCTACCTTATGCTACTGCTAGTTGTCTGTCTTTAAATTTCCTGTGTGTATACGTGCTGTGCTATTCTGGTATTGAACTTACTAACTAGATAATTGCAGTGTACTCTCACCTTTTTTTTTTTTTTTTTAGTCTAGTTTTGATTTTCCTAATGAGCATTAGTTTATACAAGCCCCTGTAATGTTCACAGCAAATATAACCTATCAGTGCAGCTCATGAACTCTAGTGATTGGATACTACTTCATCAACACTACTGTTTAATCCATTATTGACAGCTTCTAAACATGTGAACAATTTAAAAAAAAAAAAAATTCCATATAGTAAAGTGTGAAGATTTCTCCATTACTGTTTAAGTTGTCATCTATAGATTGAACCAAAATGATAACTAAAGTAATCCAAATGATTTATTTGTATAGCATAGGCTGTCTGAAAATTTAAAGAATATTTTTTCAAGTGGGAGCTCTGGTGGCATACTGCCTAAGGCATTTGACTGCTAACCAGAAGGCTGGCGGTTCAAACCCACCAGCCACTCCTCAGAAGAAGGTTGGGCAATCTACTTCCATAGTGATACTGCCTCGGAAACCCAACGAGGGGTTGCTACGAGTTCGGTCTGACTCAACAGCATGTAACAACAACAACAATTCATCCCATCCCACTTACTTGTTGTTTTTTTTTTTTTAATTTCTGACATACATAATTGATAATGGTACATATATGCAAAGTTGTGGGGGTTTTTAAACCAAAAATAGAAACAAATTTTAAAAACAACCAAAAATTCACATTTGTAATCATAGTCAGCCTCTGGGTTACAAATGTCCAATTTATGTACAACTCCCATAAAGCCTATTATATTTAAAATATCTCAGAGACAGTGGATCATGGTAGCATCTTCTTTTGCAACATGCATCAAAACGTTATTAGTATTACTGTATTAGTATGTTACCACCACTTGTCTGTCAGTTTACCATACGGTGGTGGTTTGTGTTGCTGTGAGGCTGGAGTTATGCCATCATTATATCAAATACCAGCAGGATCACCCATGGTGGACAGGTTTCAGCATTTGATTGTGTCTATCATAAAAAATTATGAATAACATTGAGAAGAATGGAAGTTCCAGAACATTTAATTGTGCTCCTGAGGAACCTGTCCATAGACCAGGAGGCTGTTGTTTGAACAGAACAAGGGGATACTGCGTGGTTTAAAATCAGGAAGGGTGTGTGTCAGGGTTGTATCCTTTCACCGTATTATTCAATCTATATGCTGAGCAAATAATCCGAGAAGCTGGACTGTATGATGAAGAATGCGGCATCAGGATTGGAGGAGGACTCATTTACCTGTGATATGCAGACGACACAACTTTGCTTGCTGAAAGTGAGGATGACTTGAAGCACTTACTAGTGAAGATTAAAGACTACAGTCTGTAGTATGAATTGCATCTCAAGATAAAACGAAAATCCTCACAACTGGACCAATAAGCGGCATCACAGTAAGTGGAGAAAAGATTGAAGTCGTCTAAGATTTTATATTACTTGGTTCCACAATTGACACCAATGTAACCAGCAGTCAACATCAGATGACACATTGCACTGGGCAAATCTGCTACAAAAAAAACCTCTTTAAAGTGCTGAAGAGCAAAGATGTCTCTGAAAATGAAGGTGCACCTAACCCAAGCCATGGTATTTTCAATTGCCTTATATGCATGTGAGAGCTGGACAGTGAAATAAGGAAGACCAAAGAAGAGTTAATGCTTTGAGTTGGCAAAGAATACTGAAGATACCATGGACTGCCAAAAGAACTAACAAATTTGTCCTGGAAGAAGTGCAGCCTGAATGCCCCTTGGAAGCGAGAATGGCCAGACTTCATCTCACCTACTTTGGTCATGTAGTCAGAAGGGACCATTCCTTGGAAAAGGATATCATGCTTCGTAAAATGGAGGGTCAATGAAAAAGAGGAATGCCCTCAACGAGATGGACTGACACAGTAGCTGCAATGATGGGCTCAGGTATAGCAAGGATTGTGAGGCTGGCACAGGACTGGGCCTTGTTTCTCTCTGTTATACATAGGGTCACTATGGGTTGGAGCCGACTCAACAGTACCTAGCAACAATAATTAGTATGTTAAATATTATTTTATAGTATATTAAATAATTAGTATGTTAAAGATGTTTTAGTGTATCTGGAAGTATTTCATGTTTTTTATGCACAGAAAGGTACGCTATATACTAAGAGAAACATTTGATATTAGATACTGTACGTAACTATTCCAAATTACATACAAATTCAACTTCAAGACAAAATTAGGAACTGAACTTAATTTGTAATCCAGGTGATGCCTATAATCATTTGTTAAAATTCTGCTATGACTTATTTTGAATATCCAGTATGATTATTCAATTAAGATTTCAATTTAACAGATACTTCTCTTTTTTTAGGTTTTGTGGAATATGCAAAGAATATATTGTCCCAACAAAGCATGTTTTATGTAGTGATAGCAATGGCTCAATATAATCATGAATGTAGGATAAGATCTATGTAAGAGCTCAGAGGAGACAGTTCAATGGATTGAATGGATTGAATAGAAAAGGGAAAGCTTTATGGAGCTCCTGAAATTTGAGTTTTGAAGGATGGGAGCAGGGATATAAAAGCAGAGAGGGAATAGTCAACAAAGACATAGAAGCACAAGAAATAATGTGAGGTATGGTGCTTAATCATTAATTTATTCAATGCATGTCTACGCCAGGCATGTACTGGATGCTACTGAAGGAAAAAGGGGGCAGAGGATTCCTGTCCTTAAGCTCACAGAAACAGTTACAATGTATTATAAAAAGGATTGAAATTTAGAAGAATAAAAATAAAGTAGAGATGGAAGTGAGATAGGAGAAAAGACTTAGGAATGTGATGCTAAACCATCAGGCACTTTGAACTTTAGTCTCATCTGTAAAAGAGAAGAGTATCAGGTAGGTTGGACTAGATGTCGTATTACTACAGTTACTTAATCAAGGTCATGGAAAGCCATAAAGGTCTTTGAACCAGAGAATGGCATGGTTGCCTTCCTGCTATAGGAAACCAAAGATAAGGAAGGGAAAGAGTTGGCAGGAAAGATAACCATTTTAGAAGTCTGGAATTGAATCATGAGGTCCCCTAGCAGAGGATCTAAAAGGCATTGACATGATGGGTTGAGAAGTGACTAAAGAGAAAAAAAGATACATAATTATTGGCTATAGAGACATTTTTTAAAGTGGAGAAGAAAAACATCTGGTCATAATTGTTAATCTATGTTCAGGTGACAATTTCTTATTTAAATGTGAAACTGCTTGAACATCACCACACTAAAGCACAATAAATTCAGAATTTTATGGTGCTCACTAGACTATGGCTGATAGTTTCTGAATTTATTTTTTTTTTCTTTAATGAACTCAGTACCTTTGTAAGGGGGCATTGGTGGTTCAATGGTAGAATTCTTGCCTTCCATGTGAAAGACCTATGCTCAATTCTTGCCCAGTACCCCTCATGCACAGCCACTAACCATCAGCTATGATGCTAAACAAGATGCATTGAGTTTCCAGACTAAGAGACTGGGAAGAAAGACCTGGTGATCGACCCCCAAAAATCAGCCATTGGAAACACTGGATCACAAGGCCCAATCTGTCCCTGCTCACAGAGGCATTTCATACTGTTAGGCATAGAGTTACCGAGAGTCTGAGGCTAACATGACAGCAATTAGCAATAACAAGTACTTTTCTGGCAAGGAGAATAAAAAAACACTTTTATTGTTTAAGTGTTCAAGGCATTTCGCAAGTCCCCAGTTGGTGTCTTAGAGTAGGACTCCCAGTAAGGTCCAGAAGGACAAAAAGGAGGGGGATTTTTATCAGTTTTTGTCTCTGCTGTAGTCCTAGCACCAAAAGAGTTCCTGGTCTATGTGGACATAGTGCTTAATAAATTGATCTGAATCCACATCTCTCTGACTCTGAAGCTTATACTCTATCTACCACATTAGTTTCCCCAACTAGTTCAATAATAAGAATGATCTGGAATATTTGTCAAAAATACAAATTTTTAGAATCCTCCCAAGGTATTCTGATTCAAGGCCTAGAAATGTGTATTTTAAATGACGACTAAATTCCTTTTTTTTTTTTTAATTTGGGTGAAAGTTTACAGAGCAATTTCATTTTCCATATACCAGTTCACACACATTTTGTTTCATGACATTGATTACAGTCCTCAGAATGTAACTTCTCTGCCCACTTCCTCCTTGTGGTTACCTTTTCCCTGTATCCTCCTTTCCTGTACATTCTTGCCTTCTGAGCTATCTCCCTGTGCAAATACTGCCCTTCTGATCTTTCGTTGTTGATTTTTCTAAGGTGTGTACCTCCCTGTTGTAAATATTTACCTTATACACCTGTCTGTTGTCTGGCTAGAAGCCACAGGAGTGAGTTTGATTCCAGGCCGAAGGGTGTCTAGAGTCCATAGTCTTGGGGTTTCACCAGTCTCCATCAGACCAGTAAGACTAGTCTTTTTTATGATTTTTATGTTTCTTCCAGCTTCTGTAGCTCCAGTTTCCTAGGTTCTTGGTAACTCACACAACTTTCCACTCCTGAATAGCAGGCTTCTCACTGTAACAAGATTGGATGCAAAGATAATTTTGCAAATCCAAAATGTCCTCCTCTCTCTGTATATTCCAGCTGTTTCCCCCTTTAAATCTAGTCCTGCCAACAGAATGCAGCAGAAGTGATATAAGGCAAGTTCTGGACTTAAGCCTTTAGAGAACTAGCAACTTCTCCTTGCTCTCTTTAAGAAAGCCACCATTTAAGGAAGTCTGCATTAAACAACGACCTTTGCTGTATGGTAGCAGATAGCTGGCTGTTTCTCCAACAGAGCCTCTGTGTGGGTTCCAACTGCCAACCTTTTGGTTAGCAGTGAAGCGCTTAACTGTTGCAGCATTAGAGCTCTAATACATGCTTACAAGTAAAAAGAAGACGACAACAAAAAGAAAACCATACATAAGTACATACATACTGTTTTAGTTTCCTCCTGGTAGTGTAGTGGTTAAGGCATTTGGCTGTTAACCAAAAGGTCAGTGCTTCAAACTCACCAGCCACTCCACGGAAGAAACATGAGTCACTCTTCCATGATTTACAGCCTTGGAAACCCAATGTGGGTTGC